TATATATTATTTGTAGGAAAATGGATGGATCTGGAGATTATAATACTAAGTAAAATTTTTCAGATACCAATGGTAAATATCACATGTTTTCTCTAGTATGAAACATCCAAAACATAAATGAGCAAAATAAAAAAGAGATGAAAGAAAAAAAAGAGAAAATGGAAGGAAAAAATGGAAATAAAGCTTTTGTAAATAAAGAGGGGAAGAGGGCTAAGGGGGGATGGGAAAAAGGGAGAAACAGGAGCCAGAGGCCCACCATTCCACCGATAAGTGCACACAGATCCTGGAGAGCAGCTGTGAGGCCTAGACCAGCATGGATCTTCCCTGACCCCAGAAATTTCTGCACACCCACTCAAGCCAAAGGCCCGCCCAGAAAAGAGCTGCACAGGCATACAAGCTTCAGCCAGAGGCCTGCCATTCCATCAGCCACAGCCAAGGACCCACCTGGAAAAGAGCTACACAGGCACACAAGCAATACCCAGAGGCTCACCCTGATACCATTGATAAGTGCATGGAGACCCTAGCCAAAGCCTGTGCAGAGAACAGAAACTGGGGTGCATAGCCCCCAGCCAAAGGCCCTCCCAGACAACAGCTACATAGGGGCCCCAGCAAGAGGCACACCTAGATACCATCCCAAATGTGCACAGGCCCCAGCCAGAAGCCCACCCAGACAACAGGTCAGCTCAGGGATCCAGAAGGCCACCACACTGAACCCAGAAATTGGTGTACTGGTGAACAGCAGAGTAAAGGCTGCTCGGTGGCTTGCCAAGAATTCAAGACCACTGGGTGAGCAAAAAGTCCCCTCAACAAAGACACAGCAGGCTGCATCTGTTGAAATGAAAAGACACGTAAATTAGTCTCAAAACCAGACTTACAGATCACCTAAGGCAACCCCAAAGGGTAATGAGATGGAACAATCTGATACTCAACCACTTGGACTCCCCGAACTGGCAATGAAAGATGATCTGGAAAAAATGAAATCAGAAATGATTTCTCAGGTAACAGCAGAAATTGTGCCTATAGTACAAGACATGATTAATAAATCTAGAGTGGACACATATAAAAAAATAGAGGAGCTGAGGAACATGAGATGCAAATTAAAACAATGCTGAGCTTCCACTTCACCCCAGAAAGAATGGACGCTATCATGAAATCAACCAATAACAAATGCTGGCAGGGCTGTGGGGAAAGAGGAACCCTGCTCCACTGCTGGTCGAAGTGCAGATAGGTGCAACCACTATGGAAATCAGTATGGAGATACCTCAAAGAACTAGGACTGGAAGTCTCATTTGACCCAGCTATTCCCCTGCTGGGTATCTTCCCCCCAAAATTAAAAGAATCATACTACAGTGATATATGTGCACCCATGTTCATAGCAGTACAATTTGTAAGAGCTAAAACTTGGAAACAGCCCAAGTGCCCATCAACTGGAGACTGGATAAAGAAAATGCAGCTTTTTTATAAAATGGAGTACTACTCAGCCATAAAGAACGAGAAACTAGAGATATTTATAGCTAAATAGATGCATATTGAGACCATCCTCTTAAGTGAAATAAATAGGATACACATGTGTAAATACCGAATAGTTTCTCTAGTGTGAGAAACTGAAAGTGTAAATAAGGACTTAAAGGTATAACAGATAATGTGAAATAGGAAGAAAAGGGACAAAGGGGAAGGGGGGGTGGGAGGGGGAGGGGAAAAGAAAGAAGGGAATGGAATTAATATGAGAAAAGTAAAAATGGAAACAAAGTCCTTGTAGATAGGGAGGGATGGAGGGGTTGAAGGGAGGGCAGGGGAATGGGGAAAAAAAAAGAACCAAGATGGATTATGTAAAGGTGTAAATTTCCAATGATGAATGTCATTATACTGTATACCTTAAATGTACCAATAAAATTAATTTTAAGAAAAGGAGAAGCAGGATAATTATGTACAGGTACAAAATCGCTATGATGAATGTTATCCTTATGTATATTTAAAATGAACCAATAAATGTTTTACTTCATAAAAAGACAGAGACAGAGAGAAGCTGAGCCAGTCCCAGCACCCGGAAGGAAGCTCCCCCGCCCCCATCCCATGCTCCTAGGGCAGAGAAGCTGAGCCGCATGGGTGCCAGAAGCACCCCCCCGCCCCGTGGAAATGAGAAGACATCTAAACAAGCCTCAAAAACAGACTTCTGGATCACCTCCAGCAACCTCAAAAGGAAACAAGATGGAACAATCTGATACTCAACCACCTGGACTCTCTGAACTGGCAACAAAAGAGGATCTAGGAAAAATTAAATCAGAAATAATCACTCAGATAACAGCAAAGATTGTGTTCATGGTGCAAGACATGATTAATAGATCTAGAGAGGGCACAGATAAAAACATAGAGGATCTGAGGAACATGATGGAATCCCAACATAGGAAACAAATGGAATCCATAAAACAGATGCAAACAGGTTTCCAGGAGATTAAAAACTCCATTGAAAGTCTGTGCAGCAGA